CAATCTAAGCCATTCACCTAATCGTCTGCCATTGATTAGGGTGATGGCCATCACATTCCTTCGCACCTCTTCAAGGGGCTTGGGGGGCCTTGCGCAGTATCTCTCACAACAACGATAGAGTTCCAAAGGTCACGGCCCAGAAATCTGGGCTGGGAATGCAACCCCAAACTGGCCAATCGATCACGAATTAGGTCAGCGAAGCCACGGCGACTTCCACGATCAAGCCCACCAAGACACGTTTTCTGCCTCTTTGCTTGCATACAGGGACCCCTCCAAGCTTCTGTCCAAACGGCATAGATAGTTTTGCACAGACGGTCTTGCTTGGTTGCCGCAAAGCCGTGCTCCTCCTCACCATCGCGGAAAACGGCTGTTTCGGTGACTTTGTTGAAAAACGGGTGAGTTTTGGCGGGAGGACCCTACTACAAAGTGCTGCCAAATCCTCAATACTAAAAAGGATTGACCTAAAATTTCGACCGTATATTCCCAAAACATAGGCGTACCATTGGCAGAAATTTTATTGAAAAATAAAGCATTTGTGATGGAGATGTAGGGCGGCAAAATCATAGAGGACAATTAATCTTGGACGGAGGAAGTAGTACTTTACCATTTGTGCATATTAATAAACTGATCCTTATGCGAGCTTAGTTTCATATGCATCTGTGGGTAGTCGTGGTGGTATATGGGGTGTTGTTACTGGCATTTTTTGTGGTCAAAAACCAATCCAAGAAGTGTTCCAAGCGGTCCATATGGCCTGGGCAGAAGTATTGGAGGCGGCTCAGGTGGTTTTGGAGGTGGTCCGGGTGGTGCAAGAGGGCCAAAAGCTTCCCAGGAGGATTTCCAGGCCGACTAGGCGGTCCAGGAAGTGGAACACCTGGTGGTGGAGATTTTGGTGCCCCTGAGGACCGATTGGTGGGCTAGCATCTAGAGATCAGACATTTGATCTCTCCAAGATTCGGATTCAGACGCCTAAATGATTCACTGATGCACGTCACCAGTCCCCTATAAAGTTGCATAGGCGTAGGCAGAAACTTGGCGGGTTGCTTTGGTTTACGAATTGCTCATTGGCATTCATATGGCAATAGCTAGTGCATCATTGACAGATGGTTGTATAAAGGGACATGCTTGTCTGCGACCTATCTATAACTTTGTTCCTTCAGCTGCGTCTTCAAGCCCGTGGTCGTGTGTGCCTCCGGCATAGTCCCACCCCGCACCCAGCGTATCAACGCAACCAATATTGATGCAAGTTTACAATGTTGGAACCCGCGGGGTTCCTTGGGGCAGCAAACCTAACAGTGCCGTTAGGTTTAGGCTAAATGTGGAAGCCACACGAGTTCTTTGGGGCGTGGTTCGCCTGCTGCGCAAAGTTCCCGATCTGTGTCAGCCCGTTGCTTGCAGGGTGCCAATCGTGCCGAGCAGCCGCAGGCACTGGGCATCCTACCCCGTCAGCAGCAGCTCTCACCCTCCGAACAGCGACTCAACAGGTCTTCACCTGGCGTAGGTGAGCGAATCGGTGACGTTGCAGTTCAAGAATTGAGCGCGCGAAAACGGCAGACATGGACATTTTCGAAGCAAGGCGAACGGGGAACTCGCCAGCGCACCGAGCCCTGTCGTCCGCGCCGGCGGAGATGCGTCCGGCGCGACGCACAGCTGAGCGAGCTCAATCCATTGTGGGCACACTCTGGACGGCTTTGGGGGCGTTCGGGAATCCCCATTGCTGGATGGAAGCCGTGCCTGCCTGAAATGCCCAAGATACCGACGAGCGGAGGAGCCGCAATGCGGCAGCGCCATGTTCCTCTTAGAGCAAGCACCGCGGACGAGGCTGCGTTGGCCAACGGGGGCCCCGTGCCTCGTTTGCGTCCTCCGTCGACGGATGCCTGTTGCCACTCGGCCGCCTGGCCAAGCGATCGCCGCGCCGTCGCGTTGCGCCGGCCGCTGCTGAAGGTGATTGTCTCATTCCTCAGGAAGGCGCCGCTCGCGTTCGCGACATCTCCGGGCTCGGTCGAACTTGATGGCCGCGCTGGACGTGCACAACTCCCTAGTGACGCGCATCGTCCTTTACAAGGTGAGCCCAAAGTCTTTCCCCAAAGCAGTTGGAGAAATGGATCTGGCGCTCAACAGCGAGGTCCCAATTGCTGGGCGCGCCCTCTTTTCTGGGGTGCCGTTTGCTTGATGCCCCTTGCTTACTGCTGTGCCAAACATCCGTTCAGGTGCGCGCCCCGAAAAGCTTTCTCCAAAACAGTCGCTGGAAAAGTGTTCGTCGCTTAGGAGGGGTGTGCAAATTGGTTGACCTTCACCTCCCCTCCTTTCTGCTGAGCCAAGTTGCTTGTCAGGTGCGCCCGGGTCAGCAGGCCGCCGCCGTCGAGGCGCTGCGCGGCCTGTTCTCGCTGGCGGCGGCCCAGCCGGGCTTCGTGTCCGCATCCCTGCACCGCAGCCTGGACGGCGCCAAGGCGGCCATCTACGCACAGTGGTGCAGTGCGCAGGCCGTGACAAACTTCAGAGCCCTACCAGAGGCGGCCGCACTGACCGCCAACGTAGGCGAACTGGTAGAGACGGCAGACCACAGGGGGTACGAGATCGTGTGCTGGAGGTGTAAGTACGGCATTCCCCAGATCGTAGCCGGCCAGTACTTTGTGAGCATTGCGGAATTTAGGGCGGGGGAAGGGGAGCAGGCGGGTGTGGTGGAAAGGGTGAAGGCCCATGTGGAGGAGGTGGGTTTGGCGAATGGCGCAGAGTGTTTGGCGCTGCATCGGTCGCTGGACGGCGGGCTGGCAGTTTGCTACGGGCAGTGGGATAGCGAGGGGGCGGCGGGCGGGGCCAGGAGGGAGGAGGATTGGGATGGTGTGGAGGAGAGGGAGTGCCACGCCTACGAGGTGGTCATGACGCTAAAGGGGAAGGCGTGAGGCCGCCGGCGTATCCCTGGCGTGGACTGTGAGGAAGTGGGGGGAACTGCTGGGGTTTCAGGTGGTGGGTGGATGCGTTGTGGGATTTGAATTCACCTGACGGCCTTTGAAATTGATGAATCTCCCCGTCTGGGAGATGGCGGTGGTGGGCGGGCGCCAGGGAGTGCGTGGTCGTCGCTCCGGCGCCGGCCGCTGCACATTATTGTGTTTCGTACATCACACCATAAATTAAAGTCAGAAACGGCGTTCAGGCGGGGGAAGAGAAACCAACATGAGCGGAAGGCACAAGACGTTCCAATGCGTCCAACGGTGGGTGGAGCATTTGAAGACTGTCGCATGACAAATGTGGCGCAGCTCTGGGCGATTCCTGCATGGCCAGATCTGGTAGCGTCCCAGTGTCGCCGAAAGGACAAGGGCACATGTCCGACACCACCAGGACTGGCATCTCCGCTCCGCCATGGCATTGGACGGTGCACCACATCGAAATCTTGGAGTGTTTGTATCAAAATTTGTTTTGAAGCAGAATTCATTAAGTTACATTCTCCCAACCGAGCATGCAGCTAGGCGCCCTGCTCCGCTCTGCAGCTCTGCAGGTGCCGCCACAATCAGGAATGATATCGACGGCAGCACACATGTGCTGAAGAAGCCAACATATGTTCATGGTTGGGGGGAAGCAATGATTCAGGTGGCTCGACATTCATGTTATGAACGTACGGATGTACTGTGGATCTCCACTCGAACCTGCCGTAGCTGAAATCGAGCAGAATGCTCACGTTTTTTTGGCATGACGCTACTGGGGTCGTGCAGTGCCTCACATGTCCATCTTGGCGAATGTCCTTGCGCAGTCACAGGGCAGCAGCAGTCGCAAAGCACAACTGAGTGGGCAAGAATGGCACCAGCTACGGTTTCAATTGCATGTATACATGTAGCTGCCCCATTAACACCCACAGCAGTGGCCTAACCTGCAATCTCCATAGTTTTCACACGACTCACATGTGGAAGAATGGGCTGCAGCTGGTTCTTCCAAAGCTGCGCGCGGGGGCACCAAGCCAGCACAGGGGTCAAATGCGAGGCTATTCTGCAGCCAGGAACGGCATAAAGGTCGCATCATCGAGTGCTGTCGTCCGCACAGGACAGGGCGCTGCATCCTTCCATATCGGCCACAACCAGCCTGCAGTTTTCTTCGTACGGCTGGCTCATCACAGAGCGATGCAGGCGAGTTGCTGGCCATGTGCGAACAGGGAAAGGGCCGGGTGGTCAAGAAGGGATTTCGCCCACAGGCTGTCCTTCTCTCGCATGCATCTGCAGATCATCTGCGTAGGCACACTCGCAGGGAATTCGAGGCATCAGCGCCCACCAATATATATTGCATTGTACATTCCATGTCCAGGTGGGAACTTAATGGGGCAAAGCGAGCCCGCCCTTCAGCAATAGATTATCAGCACTATGTCAGGTGCACATCGCCACTCCGCTTGGCCATGAACGCAGAGGCAGCTGGGCAACTATGCGTCCCGTGGGCCTGCGACAGCGAAATGCTTCATTTAACGTGCCAACTGATGGCCGCCCCGCACGGTTATGCACCAGCCTCATGTCCAGGCCCATGCACAGCGACAGCCAGGGACAACCTTGCCATCATCCGGTTATTGTCGACAGCAACAAAACAGCGTGGCAAAGAGAACACCCTCCCCCAAAAATGGTGCCAGAAATTGTTGCAAAGCACTGAACCTGGCACCACATCTTCTCCAAGAGCGGTTAGAGTGCAGTTATATAGGCCAACCCCGCAAGTGCATGGCCATTTGCGCAAGTCCCAGGGCAGCCCCGACACACTGAACTGGGCACTGCCCGAGGCACCGACTAGCAGCAAAGGACGGTGGCTCCCTTTCCTAATTGTTGTTCCAGACCGCTATTTCTATGCGAGCGAAGACCAAAGAATCACAACAAGCACTGATGGGGTCAATTCTGTCACACAACTGAAAGTGCAAAGGCTGAGGTTCGTCACTCCGATGAATGCAATCAAAAGAAGGTTCAGGACACCGACAACGGCGAGGTAGATGGCAATGGGCTTTGCGTTGCTCGTGTGGCATGGATTGGAGCCTCGTTCTAAACAGTGGGAGTAGGCCCCTCCGCGTCTCGCCGCTGCAACTCAGTTAGGGGCTCCATGTTGTGGTACCTGAACAGCCGCAGGCAGCGGGGCACCACACTCAGCGAAGCCTCCTTTTACGTTGCAGTTGTTCGAAGCACACAACCAAACGCTCATTGTCTGTGACACGAGGGAGGCATTGTGCGATTTAGGCATCTACATATTAACTCACTCAAGTAAACAATTAATCAATTTATGTGCATTGATTTGTCTACCTACTGCTATTTGCTTACGTACTTACTTACTTTATTCATTTATTATTGCTTTTTTTACATTTTACTATATTTATTTATTCATTCATTTATCATTTATGTATTTATTTGTTCATTCATTTGTGCACCATTCAGCAGCGTTCAAAAGACACCAAACAAGCGTCCGGGCAAGCGCACCCCGCCGCCTCACCGCATGTACGCCAGGAACTGCCCCGGCAGCTCCTCCAGCAGCTCCGCGGCGAGCGCCTCCCCCCGCCCCTTGAACCTGTTGAACTCCACAAACTGCACAATGTCGCGCTGCGCCTTCCGCCCATCGGCCTCCAGCAGCCGCCTGTCCGAGTCCAGAGCCTCCATTTTTGAGAAGTCCGCTGTGCCGATGCCGACGATGAGGATCGACAGCGGCAGCGACGAGGCGGCCACGATCGCCCTGACTGTGTCCTGGTGCAAACACGCGCCGCAGCCAACCCAGTGAGCGTAAGTCCATGTGGGGCTGAGTGCAGCAGTGTTCCCGAGATGGCTGCTGCTCTGCAAGGCGGAGCATTGGTTCTTTGGCCAAGTTGCGATTGGTCTCCAGTGGAGAGTCTCCATGGCAAACGTGCGGCTTGCTGCGTGCCATGACTGGCGCAAGTGGCCAGGCTTGTTACTCACGCCGTAACCACAGATCCTATTTACGTTTTTACGCATAACAACGCATAAAAATACGTAAATGCAACGTGAAACAGCCCCGCGTACATAAGGACAGTACACACAGCGTTCGAGGCTCCAGGGAACGGCATCCAGACGCACTGGAATGGGCAGAAAACGAGTTCTGTTCCACTGCATCGTGGCCCTTGCCGATTGGGAAGTGGACGCCGTGCTGTCGGCGCTCAAGGGGGCGGAGTACAGATCACTGTGGGCAACTTCCATCGTGCGACCTGTGTGTCACGACGATCCGTAAAACCGTAAAAACAGCCATAAAAATAGCTTCTTTTGCAAATTTACGTTTTTACGTGTACAAACGTGAACGTAAGAACGTAAACGTAAACGTAAATAACAAGCCTGCGAGTGGCCACCTCCGCAATTGCAGAGAACAAGGAGTCCAGAAAAGAAGCATTTCCTGGGTGCGAAGGCTGGAGGATACGGTCCTCAGGATTTCCAGTGGGTTTGTCATGTTGATGCCTTGGTACCCACGCCTGGTTCGGGACTGCTTCAGCAAAAAGGAGCAACTGCCAACTGTCTGGTTTATTTTTGCGGTTCGTGAGCGAACACCAAGCAACAGCGGCTGGCGGAGGATACGCATGGTATCGGATTTTCAATGCGGATTGAGCAGCAAACCATCGTGGTGTTGCCTCGATGACAAAGCTCGGGTTGTCAACACTGGCCGCCAATTTCTTGCGGCTCCAAGCCAACGAACCAAAGCGACTGACAGCGTTTCTGTATTTGGGTATCATTCTTTCAAAAATAGATACTTTATGCATTTCTAGTTTGGTCTCATTATTCGAGATGGAGCGGACAAGGCAACATGATTTTGTGCCTTTTTCATCTGATGCACATTGCCAAGATAAAATTACAGTTAAGAACTACTGTGCAACAATGAAATCAATTTGGGTCTTTTAGGAATGTCACAACGAGGGCCGAAACAGCGCGACGTGGGCAATAATTCGCCAGTGTGTGTTGGGGAAACTGAAAACTGGCCTTAATATCGAAGCTCTAACGGAGCCGACACCAGTCTATGGCTACAGAGGGCATCGATCATATTCTACATTCATCAACATCGCTATGAATTTTCCTTTCATTTTTCTCTTTCACATTTCGATATGCATCTGAATTTTTGTCTAATAATTGCACATTGTGTGAGGCAATGCTACGCTGCTACTCGTATATCTTTCGATTTCGAGTGCAATAGAGAAGAAGTGACCGAAAGGGAGACATTGTGGCTGGTGGCATTGTGCGCCTGTAAATGCCGAACATGAGCAAAGGACCCTCCCTTACTGTGCCCCGCAAATGTAATCCCAACGATTGGAAGCCACTTTGATGCAGGCATGAGCGGTGCAACCTGCCCACCTCCATGTCCTTGATGATGCCATCTGTCAGGATGAGCAGACAGTAGTACTTGGCTTTTCCTACATCCCTCTTGGCGCAGTGCATCGCGGCGCCAATGACAGGCGCAAACAGTGTTGGGGCCGCCAAGCCAACTTCCATCAATGCTTTCCTGACAATTACAGAGACAGTTACTCCTGTGAGGCTATTGCTTCTCCTCAATTTCATCTTTTATTTTGTGTCCTCAAGGCAGTCATGGCCCCGTTCCAGGCGGCTCTGCTTCAATTCCTGCCAGAGAATCGTGGAATTTTGTTCATCGCAGTTTCTCTACGCGCGCATTATGTCATTGTCAATTCTTGGCAGCGAACGGTCTACAGCAGTGGTGACTTTATTTGCTCGCGGGCCATACCATTATTGATGCCGCCACAACTGATGAAGCCTGCAAAGTGCCAACTTCCAGCTAAAAACCCGCATCTAGGGGAAAATCGGCCTCCACAAAACTTCCTGTATTGCATGAAAGGAGTCTGAACAGCCACATGAACAGCCAACAGCATTTGTCAAGCCTGCACCTGCCCTTTTGAACTGCGGCACCACCGGCAAATCGCCCAGGTTCTTCTGCCTTGCAGCAAAACACATCACCAACACAAGAACGCGCCACTGTCTCACCTGTAATAGCTTCTTATGCCCTCCACTCCTGCACATTCGGGCCACATGTCGTTCCCATTCAGCGCGAAGCAATGGCTGACGCCCGTGGGTAGCATGCCTCCAAAGCCCCAAGTCGGAAACAGCCTGTCGCTGTCGTAGAACTCCAGGACTTCGCCCACGCCCTGAATGGCTTCCTCGTACGGTGTGGGGTACCTGCCTTCAGAGCAAAAGCAAGAGGCGATAAGCAATGAAGCAAATGAGCTTAAGCTTGCCAGTTCTCCACATCTGGCATGACTCGGAGCCAGCCCGCCAGTCAGTCAATCGCTCATACTACAATGAGCGACAAGCAGTACAATCAGTATAATCAGTAGTACAGCGTATCAGTAGTACAGTGCAGTCTATGGCACAATCAGCCAATCGACCAATCGCTCCATCGTCGCATCGATCCATTGAATCTGTGAGCAAACCAGCCAAACTAATGACATGAGCATCAACCTTTGTGCATTCGAAATTTCAGAGCTACGATTTTGCTCCGCATTTCTTGCCTGACTGTTGTTAATACTTTTTGTGCTGTGCATGTGACTGCCGTGTAATTGTGACTCAACCAAGTCTGCATGGCCCCAATGCAGGTTTTCCGCCACAGCGACTCGTGCATCCGGGAACGCTGCGAGCAGCCCACAGATCCTGGCAACACTACTGGGACGGCGGCAGGGGTGATTTTCAGAAGGGTTTCGGGTACACCGCAGACAGCCAACGATAGTGCGGGTTGTTGCAAAGCCAGCTCCTCTTGAAGCCAGCCAGGGCGTCACTGTTTTGGCTGCTCCGTATTGCTCTGTGCCATCCCGTCCAGTATTTTTCCTCGGCAACAAAGGCTCAGCGCTATGGTGTGGAAGGGTTGAGTACACATGGCGGTAAGAATGCCCCTGACAGGGCAAGAACCTTTATACCTCTCAATTTCAGCCAATGGTGGTGGTGCAGTCTTGAAGGCAACTGGCCTGTTGGCCTGCAAGGCGGTTCTGATCACGCACTCACCCATGGGGTCCAGGTAGTGCAGGGACGCGCGATTTGTCGGTCTTCCATTGGAGATCGTGAAGTCAACAGCCACCAGGAAGGAGATCTCGAACCCCGACGCGATGTAATCCAGGAACGAAGGCCGGCTTGTTATGAAGACGCCTTCACAATTCGACACACGCGCAGTTCAGACCGAGAGTCATAAGGGTCTTCAAAACCGAAACCAGGTCACGCACTGCCCAATGAATTAATGTATCCCTAAAGGCAACGTGAAAGTACGGCACATCGGTCATGTTGTTGTAACTAGAACTGATTGAGTATTGGTAACGGCTGGACGCATGAAGAGGTGATGAAGCATTAGGAATTACGTTAACGGCATTGACTAACGGACTGGATATAAGCGGCAGATACCCTGTTGTCCCTTTGCTCTACTGTAAACCGCTGCCGCGCACTCGAGCCTACGGTCTCCAATCAGGGGTCGCCACCCCTCGACCCTGCCTGCCTTCGTCAATGTCACTTGTCTCTACTTCACCCAAATCGTCAGACAGCGTCAGCTTTCCAGCGGCCTACACATGGCCTCACAAACATGAACGCAACACCCCACCCCACCCCCTTCCTCTGATCTCACAACGACAGCCCTTTGAACTCCATGCACGTCTTACATTTTATTGCTTTGCGCGTCACGTTGCCACAAAAAAGCCTCACTGTCCATGCTTACATCATGCACATCTGTATTTGCTACGCAGCTGACGTATTTTCATGACGTTGCAGCGCGATCCCGTGGTGCCTTCGTAGCAGGCGATGCGCACGGCGTTGCGGATGGTGCAAGCTCACGGCATTGTACAACACATACAACACGGTCGAACGCATCAAACTCTCTACGATGGCTTCGATCGTGAGGCATGCTAAGTGCCCAGGACATGAACGACTTCGAGGGAAAACTGTGGACGATTCGGAGCCAAGTACGATACCCATTTCATGGCCCTAGGCCCCATTGGCCCATGGCGCTAGGATTGCCAGTGGACGCATCAACCGCTTCGAAACAGTGTCTGCGCCTGCCCTGCACATGCAGGTGTTGGGGACTGTGCTGGGAGAGGCTGGCAAGCAATCAGACGACATAACAATCACTGAACGAGTGAATCAATCAATCACGTCTCAATTCTGAAACAGCAAATGGCAACAGACCACAGGAACAGATAAACCAGAAACCAGGAACAAGAAAATATGGAACAGCGAATTGAAAATAGAAAATAGAATGTGGAATGGTCTTCCCACCATCAACGTGCAGTTCTCCAGTCAGTGCAGATTTCTTCTTCTTCTGTCTGCCAAGCGTGAGAGTGCCTCCATCTGGATATTCACAAATAGTGGCGCTGAATCTTTCAAGAACATAGGCTCGATTTAAAGTCAAACAGTAATTTCGAATACAAGAACGTCCGAAAATTCGGATAGAACGTTGGGTCCAAATTCAAGAACAATAGGCCCACATTTAAGCTCGCCTGGAAGCCAGGATTCCATGTGAACATCGTTTGGGACAAGAGACGATGCACACAAGCATTACCCTTCACGCCCTGGTAGGTGCCCAGGAACGATTTGTCATAAATGGCAACTGCAACTCGCTGAATGATTGGTAAATATTGTGTTGTAACTTGCTGAGTCATCGTTGCATCGACATAAGGATTGGCGCTAAGTAGGGGTAGGGTTGGGGGTGGGGGGTCTGAGCTTAGCGTCAAGTTGAAGCTAAGCATAACAAAATCGACTAGCTCCTACCCTTACAATCATTTACCATCTACACTTACAATCATTGAAACGTGAAAAATGTTGCTTCCACAACAATTGGAACGACAATAGAAAAGGCAACAGACGAGCGCTACAAGTGCCATCTCCGCGAAGTAAACACATCCAAAACGTGACAGGCTCAGTGCGCCTATCTGTCCTAATGTCGTTCAGCAAAAGCAGAGGATACGGCACATTCGGACAGTGTGTGTGACCCATATGATCCCTTTGATTTCGTTTGTACAGTGGCTCCATCAAAGAATCAAATGCAAGGCTGTCGACGCACTGCACATCAACTGGCGCGGGTGTTACGGTCCATGATATTAGTGGGACATGAGATTTCATTTTAGTATTTGTAAAGTATAGGTAGAGAGCCGCCACCTTTGGGCAGGTTCTCGAACCGTCGAATAGAGGGACAATATCTGGCATTGTGATGATAAGGGCTGGTGGTGTAACGAGTATCCGCTCTGGCCACGACGGCGAGAGCAAGGGATCAGTGTTGCGACCTCCCTACTCCCATTTGCGCATTGCTAAGAACCCACTGACGCATCAACCATTAACAGTGGTTCCGACGCCGGGACCTCGCATCAAACAGAGCGTGCTGATCGGTGAAGGGAGGTCGCGACCGGGTGACCACTTGGCGGCACGACTGCCATGCGAGAGGGGAGAGGTTACAATTCGGAGAATTGGCAGCGGCATGGAGAGATCGGCGAAGGAAATGTTGAGCTATGACGTCAACGGAGAGAGTGGCGGGTTGGCGATAGCCAGCGTCACGTTGGAGTTGCGGCCAGGGATGACGGTGGAGCGATCGGCGTGGAGGTGTCGATCCATGGCCCCTGTGCGGAGAGAGCAGCGGAGCGAGAGAGCGGCGAGTTGGTGGTGGCCAGCGTCACATTGGGAAAGCCATAGCCAGGAGCGAAGGTGGGGAGATCGACAGAGAGTGTCGATCCGCGGTTCCTGTGCAAGGGAGGCGATCCGAGGGAAGGGAGCGAAGGGAAATCGACCGCGAGAGGAAGCAGAGGCCCGGATCCGATCTGACGGGAGGACCATGAGGCTTCGACCGAGGACGTTTTCGGGCTCAGAGCTCCAGGAAGATGTGGAAGGATGGCTACTGCACTTCGGAGGGGTGTGTGTGGCTAATGGAGTGACTGAGGATGCGCAGAAAATCGCGCTCCCAACAGTGAGCACTTCAGGGGAGGCAACGTGCTGGGTGAAAGCTCATGCACGGTGGCTGATGGGGGAAAACCGCACATGGTTGGAGGTGAGGAACCATTTCCGTGTGAGGTTCAAGGACGAAAGCATCAAAGATCAAGTCAATGCAGCTCTACGGACCTTGAACCAAGGACCAGAGGAGAGCATTAAAGAATACCGGAGCCGATTCAGGGAGCTCCTGGCTCGCTTGGAAGAGGCCACCGAGGAGGTATGGTTTCGCTCATGGGTGGACGGCCTCCGCGCTGACTTGTGCGAGGTGGTCAGATTCATAGGTTACGAGGATGGATCTGAGCATGGCAGCCGATATTGTGATCCGGAAGGAACGGGGGACCGTCCGGAAATGCATGGATTAGGAGGACAAGTTGCCACGAGAGAGGAGCTAGGAAATGAATTGGCAGAAGTGTTGGGAGACTGAGCCATGCACGCGAGAGCGTCACAGCCCCACGGTCGAGACATGCCGAGGAGTGCAGGGCGCGGCCAGTTGGACGAACCGAAACCCTCAAAGATTCGATGCGTGAGCGGCGCATCCGGGTCGCGACCATTGGGGCGGGCGTCGTGATGACCAACCCATAGGCCGAGGGGGACCCCCACGAGAACCCCAGGAATGTTGGAAATGTGGGGCAATCGGCTATTTTCAACGGCAATGCAATAGGAGTGGCATGGGGGTTGAGATTGGACGAGCGGGACCTTCAGGAGGCAAGGGTGGTCCTCGCGGAGTCCAACCTCGCTGAGAATTGGAAGCGGGACCGAGAGGGCGAGGATGGCGTCCAGACAACTGGAGGGAAGGTGAACCGCAGCATTTCAGGCGGCTGGCGTAGGACATCGTGTCGAATTCGTATGCCAGGGAAGAAGGCCAGGGACTGGGACCCATGGAGGAAGACATCGCCTACAAAGAGGATTGGGTTGGACCCGTAGTGGAGGAGGACCTGCCGTGGAGTGATGAGGAGGATGCGCCAGCGGCGCGCATGGCTAGCGATTGGAAGCGGCAAAAGGGAGGTGGGCCATGGATACCGTGTATTGAGCTTACGTTACAAGAGGAGTGGCATGAGCACGTGGCGTGCACATGCATCATTCCCCTGGGCATGATGAAGGGCATGTCAAAGAAGGGAGTATACTCGCAACTGGTGTTGGCATTGGACTTGATGGGAGCTGCACTGAAGAAGAGCACTACAAGAGAACACATGGGGCCGATTAACTACGTGGAGACTGAAGGACTGCCTGTTGGGCATGCAACACAAAGGAGGATGGGCATCCTTGCCAAATGCTATGTTAATGGCCTGCCTGTTAGATAGGTGATTCTCGATCCGGGCTCCTCGCACACTCTGATGGATCGGGAGTGCCTAATGAAACTTCACTTGAGGTTGGTCGGATGTCTGCCCGGGATTGAATTGGAGAATGAACCAACCGCCTACAGAACTTGCACATTGGCTTGGCAGAGCCGAATGCTAGGCACCAACATTCAGAGTATTCGGACTAGATATATATTGATCCCTCCTTCGAGCAAGTTAGCCAACACCCAACAATGCAATGCGCGTTCCGACGCATGTATGCTTCACGGTCTCGGTCTTCATACGATAACTTTTCCCCGTTCCTCCGGTATCTATATCCGAGGGGTATCCCTCTCTCGTCCCACCGGTGGAACTCCATCCATCCTCCCTATTGACCGGCGTGAAATGCTCGTCCTCCCTATCAACAAGACCATTGCGATCATCACTATCCGGACCGGTGGTTTGCGTCACTAGGGTCTCAGTGTATGGGGCTTCTGTTTTATTATCCCGGGCCTCCAGTCCCAAACTTTTGCGGCCCATCGCCCGTTCTGCCCAATTAGGCATGGTCATTTGACCTTCCCATGATATCTCTTCTATGGCGGACACATTCAAACGCTTACTTCCTCGGCGCGAGACTCCGCGGCAATTGTGGCCCGTGTCACTTCCTCGACAACCCCCTCCGCGCGGGCCGCCATCTTCCGCGAGGGTGCCTCCATCCCTTCCAGCGCCTCTGCCAATCGCTTGACCTCGCTGTGAGGAGAGTCCCATTCTGCTTGCATCGGGGTCACGTCCGCGCCTTTCATCCTCGCCCTTCTTAGTTGTGGCGAGTGGGAGGGGTCATGTGCTCTCACCCACCTTGGAAGGGCCAGCCGCCATGCACCCCGCATGATCCCCGTCCATCACTTTATGCACGTGATGTGATGCGACAAGACGCTCTTTCCCGGCAATGGATACGCGTAGTGCTCCTTTCTGCCCGACCCATGTCACTCGCACCGGGCCGATCCACCATGGCTACAATTTATGCTGCCGCTTATGCCCGATCCACATCATTATTGTGTTACCCACCGCCATGACCGGCTCCCGCACTCGGGTCCATCTCGCCACTGGCTTCCTCAACCGGCCCGCATGCCGGAGCCGCAGGTTTCTCAATCCATCTATACGGTCCCTTAGGGATGTGACTGCAACAACGGGGACACTCATTTCCTCATCCGAGTGGACACCCTGCTCACACTGAGCCAGCATGTATACCTCAGCTTGCCCTCGGGGGAGGAAGCCCATCAACAGCTCCGCTGGCGAGACCTCGTACTATTCAGTAATGCGTGTGTCCATTGCGAATAGTGCAGAAGCCACGTGTAAATCCCATGTGTCGAGGCCTCCCAATCTCCATACCCGCTCCAAAATCTCCCGGTTAGCTCTCTCGACCTTGCTGTGTGAGTGTGGGTGATACAACACCAACTGCGATCATTTGATTCCCCACCTCAAGCATATCTCCCTGAATGCTCCTTCGAAGTGATTGCTATTGTCCGTTTGAATCTTTCGGTACACGCCATACTGAAAGACGACCTCCAATGCGAGGAAATCCGCCAAGGCCGCCGTGGACGCATTTGATTAAGCTTTCCCCATCGCATAACCGGTCAAGCCATCCACTGCCATTATAATGCAGGCATTCCCACGAGTAGTCTCAGATAGCCCCAGGATCCAATCCATTTGGATCCATTCTAAGGGCTGCGTTGCCAGCACCAAATCTCTCGAGCTTTGCGTAGGGGCGACCGTGTGGTTGAGGCAAGTTAGACAATGCGCGACCCACAAGTTAATATCCCGCTCCATGGTAGGCCACCAAAACTGCCTTTGGGCCCTCTGCAAAGTGTTGCGGACACCGCAATAGCCACCAACCACCGAATCATGCGTCTGCTCCATTACTCGCCCCAACTTGTCCTCAAGCACATAAAGCTTCCACTCGCCATCGGACCCTTTTCAAAGAAGTCTTCTACCTTCCACCTGATATTCCTCATTCTCTCCCAACTGCTCCAGCACCTAGCCATACCATGCTGAAGCGGCGAAACGGTCCAACCCTATCCGCTCCTGACGGCCATCCCGTGGTTGCTCCTCCTCATTGGCCTAGAACCCCAGCTCGTCATCCGCGCTAGCTTCCCTTTCGCTTGATTCCAACCGCACCAGCATTCTGGACAGGCCATCGGCGTTGCCATGGGACTTCCCTTTTCGATCAGCCAACTCGAAGTTATATTCGCTCAATAAACATTGCCAGCCACGCAACAGGTCAGATCGATTTTCTTGAGAAGACCCAAAATGGGTCTATGATCGGTTTAGATGATGCACCGATTCCCCAAAATATAAGACCGGAATTTCACTATAGCGGAGACTATTGCAAGACACTCCCGCTCGATGGTGGAGTAATTCCTTTCATGCACCGAGAGTACCCTGGAGTGGTAGTAGACAGGATGCTTGATTCCTCTATGCTCCTGCAATAAAACCATGCCCAATGCGTACTGGCTCGCGTCGATGTCGATGATAAAGTCCTCCTCGAAGTTGAGCTTCATTAACACTGGAATCTCTATCAACTTTGACTTTAGTGTTTCAAAAGCCTTTTCCTGCTCAGGCCTTAATCACTGCTCTTGATCTCCTTCGCAGTTCCCAAACTGAGATTCAGTTCATTCAGGGGTGCACGATGCTCCCAAAGCCCTTGACAAAATGCCGGTGATAGCTAGCCATCTTGAGAAAGGAAAATAACTGGTTTTTGGTCTTTGGGCATGAGAATCTATAAATACACTGGATTTTCTCTGCCATTGTCCTGATCCCCCATTCAGAGAGCTCATGTCCCAAGAACTCCTGGCGTTTGAAACCGATGAATATTTTCTTGGGCTTCAATTTTAGTTTAAATTTGCTGATACGCACCAGAAAGTTCCTCAAATCCGCAGTGATGTTTGATTCCCACAGGTGAGCCAACCTGCCATCGTCAACGAAGGTTATGACCTGCTCCAGTCCTCCGTACGCTGCCTCTACAACGCGGGAGTATCTGGGGGTTCCATTGCACACCCCAAAGCAGTGTTGTCCACGCAAAGACGCCGAAGGGCATTAAGAAGGCGGTGAGCGAGACAAATTCTTCGTCTAATTCCAGTGAATAGTACCCGTTGAACCCGTGTACAGAAGAGTACAACGGGGCACCCGCGAGGTCTTTCAAGATTTCATCCACCCGCAGGAGTGGGTACTTATCCGGGATCATGGCACGATTTCAACCCACGTAAGTGTAGCAAAAATGCAGCTCACCCCCCTTTTGGGCAGTAGGGTGACATTGGCGAGCCACTCCGTACCATGGGGCCATTCCACCACTAGCCCTGCACTCAATAGGGCATCCAGCTGATCTCTCAGGAATCGAAGTTCCTTGGGCGCGAATTGTCAGAGTCGCCCACAATGACTGGGCTTGCTGCCCAGGCCGATCGCAATATGGAACTTAGCATGCAGTGTGCACTTCATATTTGACAACGCCAGGTGCAAAGGACAGCGCCAAGCAATCCTTGAATTTCACTAGGAGCTGCTTCACCTCAGCCACCGTCTCTCTGCTAATATCCTTGAAGTGAACCATTTCTACCCACTCAATCTGAGTAGCCTCGGAAACCCGCGGTAATCCAGCAAGTCGTGCCCTTCCCTTGGCATCATCATCCCACTCCTCTTCGTCCTCTTCCTCCTCCCACTGCATGAGGAGCCCCTGCAACATATCTTCAGCATCTTCCAGACAGGAATCTGATGATTGCGACTCCCTATCTTCTCCCACTCCTGATTCAGCCCTCCGAGCCACCACCTCCAGCTGGTGGCCCCGCTGTCACACACGAATCTTGCCACCTCCAAGGGTGTACTCCTGGGAATCAAACTCTGCACTAGTGGTTGTGTCTGCCAACCAATCTTAACCGAGGAGAATGTCATTTGTTCCTCGCGCGTCCACATATCTCGCATCGATTCTCGCCATGACTCCCTCGATTTCCATAGAGATTGGCTCGGAAATCTTGTAGATAAGGGCCCTGCATTGTCTGAGCGTTGCACGACTGATAAAGGGTTTTGGGGAACTGGCCCGGGGGATTGATCTCGTGGGAATCAGGGGTGTATCGTTCCAGATCGCAGGGATGTGCTACTAGTATCGGGCTGACCGGAGTATCAAGGAAAGTGAAGAAACTCGGACTATGGGACACCCTTCATTTCTAGTCTGCAGGGACGCAGCTGACTTGAGGGGTATGTTCTGTTACAGTCGATGATATTAGTGGGACATGGGATTTCATTTTAGTATTTGTAAAGTATAGGTAGAGAGCTGCCACCTTTGGGCAGGTTCTCGAACCATCGAATGGAAGGACAATATCTGGCATTGTGGTGATAAGGGCTGGTGGTGTAACGAGTATCCGCTTTAGCCACGACGGCAAGAGCAAGGGATCCGTGTTGTGACCTCCCCACTCCCGTTTGCGCGTTGCGAGGAACCCACTGACGCATCAAGCATTAACATGGGTAGGAGATGGTGTTAACTTTGTCTGAACCTCGCTGCAGTCTGATCAACAGCAACAACACCTCCAACGCATTTCAGGACGCCACCAATAGATGGGGCGCATGCAAGCCGCTGTCAGTGGAAACTAACATACTCTTTTTCTCAATCTTCAAGTGATAACGCTGGGGTGGGGTTGTTCTTGGCAACAAAACTGCCACGTCCTTGAAGCCCATCAGCAAAGCAACGCTGACTGATCATCCGAGGTCATTAAGTAAACATACGATGACCAATGTGACTTTACTCCTGGTGACGGCAAGGAAACATTCATTCGCGATAGTTTCCCTTCCAGTCCAAAAAAGTCAACAGAATCAAGGATCAAACCGTCTTCAAAATTGTTTTCAGGCACTCCTGCGCTTTAACAAACGAATAGTCATTTAGCACAAGTGACTCACTTCAAAACAGCGATGTTCCGTGGTGATGTTATGAACCAAGTCTGCAGAGCACATGAACGCCGTTGCAGATTGCCATAGATGGCAATCTCGGGTATATACCTGAGAGGTCCTGCAGCTCCATCAGTGAGGCTTGCGCCTCCCCCAGCACAGTGCGACTGCCTGAAGACCTGAAGCTAAACACCTGTGATCAGAACTACGGTAAGCGGCATGAGTTGAGGTAAGATATCGCGTGACATCAGTCTGCAACACATCCTCAATTACAACAACAGATTATTGAAATCTGGAGATTGGGTCTTGTTACCAATTCAAGGCACGCACGGGATACAGGCCATTGAAGGTTCGACATGATAGATGTTTAGGACACTCATTGCAAAGGTGAGGACTATAAAATTGAAACACGAAAAGCGAACACCAAACGAGCGTTGCCCAAAACATGCCCAAAGGGAGTGAGCGCACTCAAGAGCATGGTATGCAGCAGCTCAGAACAGCACGGGCTCCGCGCCCACGGGCAGAGTTAAAACGCTGCAGCAACCCTATGCTGTCAATGGCAATAATTGCCATTTTGCACAATTCTATTCTGTGTTTTGACCTTGGAAATTCCTGCATCACAGGTGCAAACGATACCAATGCTGGACCAAATCATGCAGCCTGTACCCGTACAACTGAATCAACAGGTACCTGTAAATGAGTAGCCATATAACCTTTAACTTTACCCTGTTCTTGTTGCAATTTTTTGCCAGCGACTGGCAGACCTTGGTAACAAAATAATATCCTGGTGGTCGAGCCTTGCAGATGGGGACGGCGCAGCACAATGTTCCAATTCAGCCAAAGCAGACTGCCATAGCAATTTCAAACAACTACTGTTCTTGAACAAAAACTGTTTTGGTTCCACCAATCTATGATGCTACATCATTGATTCGTTACAACAATTCAATTTGTCCAACAGCGAGAAAACACCACACTTCGAGGTGTTGGACACCAGCGAGATTCCTTCATGTTCATTTGTCACTCATTTACTTTGCTACTACTAGTAACATATTCGATCAATGGACATTAATTTCGACAATTCTATCATTAGGTAAGACATCACTGACTTCACGTGACAGACGCACAACTGTGGTTTTATGCCACCGCCGCCATTAGTTTCACAGGTCCATCACAACATCACTGCCCAATGCCAAAGCATACGGCCAAGCACACCACCAAGCATGCGACACAATTGCACTACTCGTTCTATTTCAATGTGGAATATGACACTGATACACGATCATCAGCAACCAGATAATATAATATAGAATTATATATGGAATACGCAAAATATAGGACTCACGCACATCATGGGCGTGTACTAAATGGCCATCGTCTTCAAAAGCCAGTGGCCTTCCAAACTTGAGGAATGCAACCATTGCTGCATCGTGCGCCATACTCGCGCACCCTGCCAAGAAAAAAATGATGCAACACATTACAGCAAAGCATTGAGCCTTCTGTCACTTTTCCTTGAGACAGGGGAGGCGGCGATGATTCCTACCTCCAGTTTCAGCGGCCTCTCCATGTCACCGTTGCAGAGGTTCCTTAACGACACCTTCAAGTGCCGCCACCTCGGCGCATCCGTGTTGTGTTGGACCTCCGATCGGGCAACCGGCTGCCAGGCGCCGCCTTCCTGCGCCTTGCTGACGACGAGAACCGTGGAAGGCGGCTTCTTTTTGCTGAGGATGCCGGAGGCGCTGATGGACAGCGTGACCTCGTCGGACAGCTTGGACTGCTCCTCGTACTGCACCACGACCTGTGCAGAGGCGGACACGAATGGTGTCGCCCCCTCTGTAATTCGGGTTCAATGCAATCGCGGATTGAAAGGGTTGGTGATGGCAAAGCTTCCCAACGAACGCCAATCCTCGCCGGAAATTCGGCCATCTCAAGTAGTTTTTGTCGGTGATTAAACTCTGCAAAATGCTAAGATTATTATTTGAAGTACCGTGCGATTGAACTGACAAATTCATGCAAATCGTGAAGAAATGAGAACAAATCGTGCAATCTCAAACGTCTTTGCGGTGCTTTCCTAACCAGCGACCTGGACAGCGACAGGACGGAGTGTTCCCATGCGGCATGCATGCTCCTGCAAGGGAAATACAAACCACTCTGCAGAAACCAGAAGCACACGCCTGATTAAGGTGGTCAACGATGGCCGCATTTAGGGGGTGGGTTCCAGTCTACAGACCAATCTGGAAGTCTCCAAACTAGTATGGCTATGTACTAGCACGAATCGCTTTTGCATATTGATAGTGCAACGACAGCTGATGCACCGTGCTAACCAACACACAGAAGCACTTCCAGTCGACACGTATGAAGGCAAGGCCCTCGCTGCCCAAACAAGAGGTGCCCATGGTAAAGGGCCACCAGTTGGGGCGAAGTCGACATTGGAACCGAGGCGCGACTGTGAGGCTTTCTACTCCTACCATGGACTTCCCAGACATCCTTCTCCCTGTGTTCACCAGGGACAGTTCTTTTTTCCCCTGGCTGTTGGACACAACCTCCGATAGAGCAAACTCAGCCTGCCCCAAGAAATCCTGTGACAAAAGCAGAAATCTATCAATGACCAGCGTTCGGTTTGAACAAGCGAATATAGTGCTGTGGCTACAAACGGACTCCCCAAGTTTTCCCTTGTCCCCTCTGACACACCAGCTCTGGCCATTCGATTCTACTCTAATAGAGAGCCTGCAATTGACAACTGAGTGATACCAAAGTAAGCTGTCAATAAATTGCAATGCAGAACAAAAGCCACAAGTACAATTGCCAATTGGCAGCAGTTTGTAGCAAGCTTCCTCTGCCTGGAGAATCTCGAAATTTTTGCTCAAAGACGATCAAAATTTGCTTTTCACCAAACTCTCAAAGGAGTCGGGGCTCATTCCTTCTTCTCGAAAATTGCTAGTTAAGGGTTTTGGGTCCCAATCCTTCCGATTCTGGCCTCAAATTGCAATTCAGATGTCGTTTTTGCAACGAATTTTCTATTCCAAATAGATGAAAACTCATACGGGACAGAAAAGTATTACCCAATGGTGCAACTTAACGTCGTGATCCACACCCGTACGCACAAAAGGAGAACTGAGTTCTTTTGATCTATTATAATGTAGGATGAGGCACATCCTGGAGGATTTTTACATGTTCTGAACTGAAGCTCACAAGGTTGCCATACACCGCTGACGGGAAACATTGCAGAAAGCTGGGACAAGATTTCCTCCTCAAGCTCCCGAATATCCAGAGAAAGCTGTGGCGTGTTGAAAAATGTTATTCATGAGGTATTTTGCTCACTTGATTGCGAAGAGCAATCCTGGCTGGGTCTCCCACACTGTCCACATCATAGATGCACAACTTCATGCGTTGAATATGCTCAAACTGGTAGAGGATGCTGAATGATTTTATGAACACAGGATCTGGAACACATCAAGGAGAGCAGTCGTGAGCCTGCTGCCAGCTGAGCACAAGACACATTGTGTGCAAAAACTCCGGAAATTGATGGAATTCTCATTGTCATTCTCATGTGCACACTTGACCAGAATGCGGCCAACTTCCATCAGCTAGCAGGAAGCCAGGTGTTCAAACCAACCCTCGATGTACAGCCACTGGTGCAAGGGCTTTCCATTTGCAATAAAGAGACAGTTTGTGTACAAGACGATTCCCCAGAAGAGCCATTTTAAAGAAAACAAAAGCAACAGGAGAAGATGAATAGATGCCAATCGGTTCTCAGCACATTTTTTTGTGTCCCTCTACAGGCATCTGTTGTAAATGTCTTCAACTTGGGGAGCGAGGTGTGGGTGGGGGGAGGGAGAGCCACTGTTGATGATATGCCCTTCGTACAACTGGCATGATGTTGTGCACACCCATGGTGTCAGGTTCAGGAAGCCATTTAGTTCTCCAGCTTCAGAGAAGAAAGGAATCGAAACGGAACTTTCCACGCACCAGAGACAAGACACGTGCATGGCTGACAAGAAACGCAAGAGGCCGCATCAGTTTCCTGTCAGCTGGGAGCAGAAGAGCAGGATGGAGCAGACACTTGCGAGGGCCCAAAGCAGAAAATATAAAGGACCAAAAGTATGCCTCATCCATTAGCAAAAAAGGGACCAAATAGCACTTTTTGCAGAACACATATATTCGCATTTCTTTAGTGTTTTGCATGCTAGAGCCATGGAAATAACGTAAACCCATAAACTTTGCACACGCTTAAAAACGTGTTGTTTTGCCCTTTTCCTAGCTATCACCGCATGGAATACAAGGCATTCCTTTGCCTCTCAGAACAGAAATTTAAATACTGCAGGCCACACCCACGCGTTGCTCCTTCCTTGTGCTGTATTCCCAAGATTTGCATCATCAGCTACAGAGCAGGAAGAGCCTCACAAAATGCTTGCCCACAAGACAGTGGCCAATGCAGCAAACATTGGTGCCTTCTGCTAAATTGCAATGATCACTACAAGCCACACATGGGTGCAAACTGAGCGGTTGCCACTCACTCAGATTGTTTGCAACCACTTCAGTTCTGCCAACCTCCTCCCACATGCCGGTCTGTGCTCTCTTGAAAAGGACGGCCATGGGGTCCGACAAGCTACAGAACATGCATAAATCCTCAACGAGGACCTAGACAAGACTTGATGCAGTGCTGCAAAGCCACCTGTTTGGACGATGTCAGGCACTGTTACAAGCAATTGTGCTTGGTTTGCAAAGCCCTGCCAAGCAGGAGATTCAGATTTGGGGGGCTGTGGACAGGATAACTGGAGCATCTGCTATGAAAAACTGCTGTCAAATCTCAGTGCTTCAAGAAATGATTCACACAATGGAGACTTCAAATAGCACATTGCATCACCAATAACAGGCAAAATCAAAGTGCAACATTGCACAACCTACAGTGATATGCGCTGGAAACGTAACAGGATCTTGGATGCTAGTTGGTACTCTCAAGCGATATTCCTTCTTCTACTCACAAGCCACTCATGGATGCCTCAATCTTGTTGCAAATTGCGGCAACAATTGCTCTATTGGCGATAGGAGTGTTTAGCAGAAACCCAGCTGTGTTGATCACGAAACAATCAACGCACGCAAGTGGTTCCATCAATCCATGAGCATGCTGTTGTGTGTGTGTTTTAATCAGTTGACTGCACTCCTCATTAACATTGACAATATTGGGCAACAAGAAGCACTGCCCTCCAGGTTACACTGGCACATGTGTGTTGGGACACACCAAACCAGGGGCAGAAAGCTAAGAGATGGGGCAATGCCGAAGCCAGCCAGTCTTGACGCCTGCTTTGTGGTCTCTTCACAGCCGGGGTCCACATATTCGGGTACAATGTGGAAACCATGGAAACAACTGTATCAGTTCTTGTTGCATCAATCGCCTTGGATTCATGTGACTATGCAAAAAATACTGGGCCAACAGGCAGTGAGGCCACTTAATTCAGCGGTCAGAAGGCAAACCCCTGAAGACACCTTTTTCTCAGCGTATTTTTCACATCTGCTCATGAGGGCTCTGGAACATGGCCATGTTCGAGTTGACAATGCCTTCATGTGCTGCCGTGTCACTCCCTGGCCTGACGCCCGGCAAGGCGGCATTGTGAACGAGTTCTAAAGGGGGCGTTCTCCAGACGCAGTTTGGTGACGGGGACACCACAGGTGCGCCAGGCCGGGACGCTGGGAGCTGAATGGTCGTGCCTTTTCGTTGCACCCCGTAGCGGAGCCGGCGCCACGACCAAGTCAGAGAAAATCCAAGCTCTCGACACGCCCGCGGGAAGCGAGCGCACCCGGCGCCTTGTGCCGAGGACGGCAGGGGAGCAGCGCACGAATGCCCGAGTCTTTGAAGCGCCGCGAGGTCACACAAAGTAACAAGAAAGCGGAAGGGCGGGAAGGAGCAACGAGGCTATTTCGGGCACAGGAAGGACAGGAGCGACTGGCCGGCAGTTTGCCTGAGGAGCGCGACCGTGGATGAACGGGCAAAGAAGTGGAGCGGGCGAAGCAAGAAAGGCTGAGGAGAGATGTCCTTGACGCCTTCGACGTCTGCTTTTCGCTTGCTCGAGCTTTGGGCGCGTTCCGCCATGAGGCATTTGCTGAAGGGGTGTGGAAGCTGTCCCCCGGTTCACTATCCTCCGAGCAATCGATTCGTCCAACTCCTGCGGGAGTCTGCGGTAGGATGGCCCAACGAAGGGCCACAACAGATCAATCGCTGCGCTCGGCCGGTGCTGGCAGAGGTGAACAAGGGGACGGGCACGTTCCAAATATCGTGAGAGGTCACCGACAGTGCCAACATTCGGGATGGGGGTGCAGACGCTCGGTAAGGGAGCTGCACGCCACGCGCCACAGCCGGGCGCCCCGCACCTGGTGACATCCCTGTTTTGCAGCTTTCTGCACGACACCCTGAGCTCCACCTGCGCCCATTGCGCACACCAGCGACCGTCACGCCAGCCCAAACAGCCCAATTGGCGCCCACGCGAAACCAAAAGCGCCCGAGATTTCCGCACAAAGCAAGCCGCGACGGCGGCACAACACCTGTTGCAGACTGCAGCCTGCAGTCACTTCGCCGGCGCAAAACAGGCCACCACGAACGGCCAAGCGCCCCGACAGCTTCAAACACGCATCAAATCCACTGCTGCAAATGCGCGTCGTCTGCGCAACCCATCCCACCACGCCCACCGCGGTTTCCACCGCCCCACGCAGGCGCCACGAGGCCCCTCCTCGGGGCGATGCGATCCCAAGAAAACGGCCGAGGAACCAAGCGGGCAGCGCCCATTCCACGCTGCCGTACCCATACGCTGTAGTCCTCGGCTCCGGTCAGCGCTGCCACCGCGTTCGCGCCCTCTCGGCCGTCCCGCTGAACCAGCTCGTCGTCCAGGGACCCCAGCCTGCCCCCCTTGTCGCCCACGCGGCTGGCGCTGTTCCCCATAGCGGGCGCACGAAGGGGGGGCGTGGTGGGGGGCTGTTGGCATGCATTTGGGTATTTGGGAAGGTGTGCTCGTAATTGTAGGAGCACAGGAGAAGGGGGCGGGTGGCCGTGGGCGCTTCGGGGCTGCCTGGAGGGCGGCAGGAAGGAGTGTCTAAGGAAGCTGGCCATGTCAGCTGGTTCAGTGTTTCGTGTTGAGGTCCCGCCTCGTCTTTTTCGTTGGGGCCCGCCCAACGTTCGTGGCGCCTGGTAATGACCACGGTTTTATCAGGGTGATTGCTCTTGGTGAAGGCAAGCGAGGGGTATCTGCAGTGAATGTGCACTAATTCTTCACGGGACGGCCAGAGTCTGTAGGGGCCGGTACCCTTCGATGGGTAGCACAGCTGCCGGCTCACTCGCGGATGCCCGGCGGAGGTCGCGCACACAACTCAGGCCCTCGCAGCCTCACGTCTGACTTGGCCCGAACCCAAGCGATCATTACAGAGCGGTCCGTCCCTTTATAGCCGTTCACTCGATTATACAGCCCTTGAAGGTGTACCCGTTGACGGACAGCACCCTCCACTACGGATCCAGCCATGACGCACAGCACTAGCATGCTGGCGGGTTCCGACCCCAACGAAATCCCACGAACTCCCATCGAATTTCCCAACCCCTTCACCATACCCAATCCTGGCACCACTCCCCGTATCTATACATCTAGGCCAGCCTACCTGGACCCGTCCGCCTGCCAGCGTTCCTGAGGTCCCTACCCAGTACCTACCCCACTTCCCTTCACTCCCACAGTACTACCCACTGCTCCCCTAAACTTCCCAATCCGACTCCCACACACCCGTTCTCTAATCACCCCCTTTCCTCTAATGACTCCCCGTCACTAATAGCCTTTCTGCGCGCACAAGTCACAACCAAATTAAAGTGAGAAAGGAGAGAAAACAGGATTTCCTCTTGCAGAGCGTGGCCTCATAAGAGTGTCATTCTCATTAGAATCCATCACAATAAGTAGACCTAAGAAGTGAGGACATGGGAAAGCTCGAAGGATGGGGAGCCAGGTTCAGCCGAAGAAACCCCTCTGTGTACACAGCAAGAGTTATCCTGACCGCTTAGATCCCAAGAACAACCAATGTGCAAGGTGCTCAGGGTGATGTCTAAGACGTTGCGTCTCAGGATGTTGGGGTCAGTGTGGCTGATAGGCGACTGTCAGATCCAGGTCCTGTCAGAATCTTCAGCCTCGCCTGACGAGGAAAGATATGTGTCCCTAAGACAAACACGGCCATGTTTGGTGCATTCCCGCAACGCACACAAATGCACATGGGTCAAGCGACAAGCATGCTCACATCCCCGATTGTTTCCAAGTTGCACTTGTATGCACTGAAGCAAAGCCCTTCGTGTCCTGCTCAACCAGACTTATTCTTGACAGGGAAATCATTATGTCAGGATTTGTGCGCAAACAGACCTGATACCCCCACCCTGTGAATCATGCCTTTGCCCCGCAACGGTGAAGAGCTAAAAAAGTGTGTCCAGGATGATCAGTGGCCTGTGCGGCAATCATAGAAGGAAAGGAATTGAAGGCTGAAAAGAAAAAGAATGACCTGGTCTCGTTAACCGCACTCTATTGAACCTCCTGCACTATTGTATATTGTGGCATTTTGAATTCGCAGCAAGGCTGTTCAAGTGACTCGTTTATCAACGCTTTGCTTAACCATTTGTGGCCCATTTGCTTTTCTCTTGGCGCTGAATATGGAACTGCCATAGGAGATATGTTGGCCGCGTCGGCAGGGAGTCCCATGTTCTGGATATCGCATGGGCTATGGAATTTTCCAATATGCACATCCATGTTCTGGATATCGCATGGGCTATGGAATTTTCCAATATGCACATCCATGTTCTGGATATCGCATGGGCTATGGAATTTTCCAATATGAACATCCATGTTCTGGATAACGTATATGACATGCGCACTATATGCCTGATATGCGCATCCAAGACATGCAAAATTTCCGACGTGGCTTCTAATATGTTGGTCCTGCTTAACCTCGCGATCTAATATTGGCGCAGGACAGGAACGTTCGGCAGGGGCGCCGGAGTGGAGCTGCGATCCATGAGCTCAGAGCCGTTGTCAGTGATTGACGGAGGGCGCTGGACTGGAGCTGCGATCCATGAGCTCAGAGCCGTTGTGAGTGATTGACGTGCCTTGTAGATCACACCATTAGGCGAACCCAAACTTTCCCCAAAATGTTCTTGGGATCAGATTCAGAAGTATAACATCTCCTGTGAATTTAAATTCCATTGAGAAGCTGCAAGAAGGATGATATATGAGGGTTAACAACGTCAAAACTCTTGTGGGTACAAAAGAATGCAGTGGCCCTTCACAGTGATTGCCAATACTCAATGGGCAATGGGGGATAGGTGGGCATGAGCCAGGCTCCAGAACGAGCATACCATTGTGGAAGGCTGCTCTTCTTGAACATCAATGGCCACAAGATATAAAAAAATTATATTTCTGTGTGTTTTGCATATTACAGGAGTTCAGATGAACACGTGTTGTGGCAGTCTTGAATCTACAGGGCGGCCAGGGTGGCCAATGCAGTGCATCGACAGAAACAGACTGTTTCTGTCTGTACTAAATTTTTAAGCAATGGCAGAGGCCGCTATATGAAGCACTGAATACAGTCAAAAGCACTTCATATTGGAGACCTGCGGAATTGACAAAACAACAATTTTTGGTAAGGTGATAGCAGGCTACTCGGATTTCGGAACGCGGTATTCGGAACGCGGTATTTCCGAATCTGACATTGTACTCTACCTTAAAACTTTTCATCACATTTGTATCTCACCTTGTTCAAAATGTTCAAAATGCTCCAGCTAGCTCTGGACGATGGAGGCACAAGAATTGATACATACAGGAATGCAACTAGCACAGGAGTGCAACATGTAAATGTCATCATAATATAGTTTTGGCATGGCACGTGCGGCCTTGACACTCACTTCAAGTGCCAGGGCAAGAACACTGCTTTTGTACATACTGTGCACAGAATATTTGGAATAACGGGACGCAGGCGCCAAGTAAATACCTGTTCTTATAAGGACAGGAACTCCATTGCCGAATGGTAAGGCGAACTTTAAAATGTGCCAATTTAAAAGGGATGTCTTGGAATTATCACACAAGTAGAAGTTGATGTTGGTTTCTGAAACTGCCAACGAGCCTCCACAACCGTCTCAATAATTTGAATAGGATTAGAATGTTGAGCAAGGTGATGTGCGCCTGCGTCAGAATATGTTGCGCACAGAACCAATTTTGACTTCAACGCGTCTGTGGCAAGCTACATCTTGATAACGTTGATTCTCGCGGTACCGCTGGGGTTTCAAGAAGGAGGTAATTCAGGTGAACCGAGCACTAACGTTCGTGCTTCAAGGTACAGTTCGCCACTTCGTCCCTTGCTGGGCATGAGCTCCGCGGACGGCTAAGCCAGAGTGGTGCATATCCCAAACAGCTCCACAAACTTTGTGGAGCCTTTAAGGCGCAAGGTGCTCCCACTTGGACACCAAAACTTTTGCAAAGTTCGCGAAAAGCCGGCAGCTGACATTGGACCTATCCCCTAGCACAAGCAGACGCCTGGGCAAGCATCTGCAAGATGCTCGGCATATCTGATGCTGTGCTGCAAAAGCTGGAGAACATTCGCCATGCTGAGGAAGGATGCGTGGAGCTCCATCCTCACCTCGCGGAAAATCCACCTGTTTTGCCATTTGACGAGGAGGCCGTGCAGCATGAGAAAGATCCCCCATGGGCTTGGTGGCCCCGCGACTGCTGGTGTCAGACATCAGTAATGTCAGTAAATCTCGGAGCATTAAAATGGACCGAGAATGTGGGGGACAGGACACTTTGGCTGTGGACACCGGTGCAACTTGGAGAATGACAAGAAATGGGGTGATCACGGCTCATCAGTTCACCTGTTGTCTCTTTGCAAGAATGGCGCTGCTCAGTCAATGTGCCGGGTTGCGTTGGATTGGCGGCTGGCCTCCAATTCTCGCCAGGCAATTTGGCGCCAGCGAAAGAGCGCGCATGCGAGGCTGACAACCTCCATAGCGTATCCAGGTGCTTTGGATTGAGAGAGAAAATTCCCCATAGCCCCACTTCCCGTCGTTGAGTAAGCGCGGGGATGCCATGACATCGTACTTATGCATAATTGTGACGAGTCGTATATCAAGGATTTGGAGTGAACAAAAAAAGGAAAAGGAGGTGCAAACGAGAAAACATGGATTGATGGGCTAATGGAGCTCATCAAACGGGTGAATTAACGTGCGCCGCGCCCACTTGCTTCCCTTGTAATTTGGAATGAATGAGGCAGTGATTCTGATGGCCATCAATTGGTTTGCAAGGATGTTCTACCTGCTTCATTACGCACGCGGAGATGTGATTGGAGAAGCTGTGGAAACGGAGCTTTGCGAAAGCACCCTTTCTCGGGGTGGGCAATGCAGCTTGGAAGCAGCGCTTTGACGCTGAGATCATTGGGTTTGAATGAAGGGAGGCATTTTTTGTTGCCGACAATGAGTACTCGGTTTGGGTGCGAGTGATGAATGGGCTGGAAGAAAGGGAGGAAAGGGAGCGTGGATCATTGCAAACAGCACCCAGAGGCAGCATATTCAGCTGGTGATTCGGCCGGCCTATAAGAAAGAGGTTCCCTGGAAGCATTCTTGTCCAGGCTTGGGGCCTACTCTTGTAGTATCTAAGGACACTATGACTGCTATTGGCCCCGCTGCTCCCTGTCCCTGTATGTGTCTCATGTCTTGTGGTTTGGCCTCTTCAAAAGTGAGCAGAAACCGCGTCGAGTGCATGTGCGCTCACAAGAAAAAACGCTGCTCATTGTTCTAAGAGGCTGAAGGAGCCACTGCTGCTGAACACTTGAGTACTGCGTGTGCATTTGCAGTTGCAAGAAGCGCGGAGATTGTATATACGTCATACCTGCAATACAGCGCATCTGATGCATGTGCAATGCACTCGGCACATT